ACAGCCAGATGGATGCACTGGACAAAATATCATCCATTCCAAACTTGGAAATACCACCATTCCAAACGGAAATATGACCATTCCAAAATTTGTCAAGGTCATATTTCCAAGCTTGGATTTGTTTGGATATGTTTGGATACAACATGTCATAATCATATCTGTTAAACGTTGTACAACGTTTGACCTTAACTTATGTTCAGATTAGTAATGACATGAAAGTAAATAATTAAGAGTATTTTGGCACTATTTACCACGAAAAAACCAAATCATGAGCAAATTTAACTAAATGAAATTCTGTCATTTAAAGTGGCTACTCTTTATATTTCATTTCTTATCTTCCTTGTCTATAATCATATGACATTGACTATGAACTTTGAACAATTAAGCAAAATTTTTGTTTTCCCATACCGACTTACGGTTGTCGTAGAACAAAGACCGTTTCGATAATAAAGGGCCTCATTATTATAATTTGAACTAATATACATGTTTACATAATAGTACTAGGTATAAATGAATTTTGATAAGTGTTCGTACAAGAATATGAACTTCGAATTATCTCGGAAATATGCGCAACACATAGGGCGGGAAATTGTATAATTGGTCTGGAACTATCTGACGGTAATTCAAAACAGGGAACAAGATTTCGTCAAATGAATCATTGAGCCAGGAATTCAATGATTTAAATGCTGACAAAATGAATAAACATATCTGGAACAGAGTAGACTGTTCATGCGGACAATTATATGCTAAGTCTATTGCCAGTGAAGTTTATCACCCCATGTTATAGCATTTGTTTCTTATAAAAGATAGAAGCCAAATAAATGGGACAATTAGTTGTTATGAATTAGCTTTACCTCTGTGACATATTACGCAACTAAAGGTGAATATGTTTATCAAATAATCAATTACAGTAATTAACCTAGTGTCCTTATTTATACACAATTTAATTACGTATTGGGGTACAATATATAATACACATATACACGGAATGATTTCTTATTTTGTCAATTTAATCATAACCCAAATCATACAAATCGATTATGTGAAAATAAAAGTAGTGATAACTTTATGATCAAGGGTATAAATACTCAATTGTATCTATTAATCCTAATAGTATAACAATAAATCCTGTGTATTTACTGAGCATATTTAGATACATCCGGATCTACGACCGCAGTCATATAATCAATCAAGGAAAGTATATTAGATTGAATTAAAAATGTGCTATCACTAAAACAAAATTCACATCGTTTTTGTTAACGATCGTTTCCATTTTCAACGTGGTAACCTTATAAGTGACTAACTTTTTTATCATGATGAAATGAAACATTAAAAATATCAAAGGGACTGATGATCGAATTTTTCGCATAAATGTCATGCTCGCATTAATTTCATGATTTACAAAAGATAGATTTGGACATTTCTGAGCAACGATCATGTTTGGGTAAGGGAAGTAATCTTGTCTCCACTTGCAATTGGATTCAATCGGGTGAGCAGTACCGAGATCACAGCTTGACTGTTCGGTACGGCCGAAAGGCGGCATACATGTTGTTCACGCTCCGCTGGTCATGGGGCCTCATTTGTCTGTATTCTGCTTATGAGCCGGGATGCGCATGAAACACGGGTGTCAAAACCAATATAGTTACCAATTACATGTACGGTCAATTAGCCAGTTCAAGAGACAATACCCTGGTTCTACGGTTCGTCTGATCTCCCGTCATAAAACCACAATGTTTATTTACCTCGGACAACGCCGACTTCCTGTGTACATGTACGTACATGGCAATAAATGGTTTGACAGTTGTTTGACGGAATCAGTCAATAATTATTGACACAGTGATGTAATTAAAATTTGTCACTATTCACAACTCCTATTTTGATTTTTCTAATGTTCAGCTATATTTTCGATCAGTTTTATATGTATAAAAAATCTTCTGTAGTATTTATAAACCAAACCTAAAAACATTATATAAGAACAATTGTGTTTTTAAAACGTAAGTTTTCTATTAAAACAACCATGCAAGTAAGATTTCTGCCGTACTATTACTTTAGTTACTCCACAGATTACACATCTTATATGCTGCAAACGCAGCCAATGTAATGCTTCTACGTCACAGCTGCCTCGGTAATTAAGGGCTGGAATGTTTTTGTGAAGGCAGTTAGAGCAGACGAATTGAGACCTATTATTGTTTTGTCGAGTCAAGTGCGGGTCTCTCTCTCACCTTAGGGAGAATGCGACTGTAAAAGCCCCTCGCTAGACAGACAAGTAGTGAATGTTTGAGATAAGTTTATTATTTATTATGTATAGTTTAAACTCAATAGATAATTTATAGTCTTTTTATTGTTCAAATTACTAATAAAACATATTTTAACTTGTTACTTGTAAACATACTTCCAAACAATTTCGAACAATTCCAAACAATTCCAAACCATTCAAAACATTTCCTGCGTTGGAAATATGTTTGGATATGTTGCCAATCCAATTTTGGATTTTCTGTAAAGATCGATCCTTCCAAGCTTTGGAAATGTTGGAATGAGCGATCTTTCCAAAGCAATCCAACGTTCATTCCAAACTGGAATGGACGCTCCTTGGTCTTGTGATGGGACAAGCGCGCCCTCCAAACCCTAATAACTGCACCATCAGAAAGGCTCTCTACTATAAATTCTGGAAAATAATTGACAACTGTAATGGGTGGAAAATTCCAGCATATGTTCAAAAGAACATCAGACTGGGTGATGGGGAGCATGTTGTCTTCCATCCCAGACAAATAATGCCGGAATGTGTGTTGACACTTGTGCGAACAAAATACCCAAATAGGATAAATGAGCCATATATGGGACACAAGTGGTGGTGAACTGACTTTGTTATTTTTCTCTTTGTATATATATATATGATCATTTATATTCTTTCTAAAACTGCAATTAATTTCTTCTGGGAAAATTAAAATTTTGTAAAGCACAACACAGTAATGAAACTCTTGGCATTATGTAGCTGACTATGGCAAAACAGTATCCTTATCAGACAAATGATTGTGTTTTGTTTACATAAAGAGTGTAGTTGCCCCAACGAGGTCAAATGTGTGACCTGTGCTGTGTCTCAAAGTTGACAGGCCTTCCTTTCCCTCCTGGTGGAAAAAGTGGCGGTAACCAGAAGTTGAAAAGACTGTTGACATTCAGGTTGTTTAAGAGTTACATTTGAATGATTAAGTCACAGTTTTCAATTTTTATGGAAACAAACGTAGCATATTCTAAAAAATCTAAATCCAACTTGCTGTTAGGCCACAAGAAATAGTTCAAAATTTGTAATTCATGCACGGTGGCCATTCTTGCATGAGGGTATGTTCACGAAAACTCTTCCACCACTGCCGTCACCGGCGAGGCGATACTCTTGAAAAATTACGATCATTTCTGATCTGAAATTTTTAGATTATTATGGAGAAAGTTTGATAGGTATATTCATTTAGTTTTTGCTTGGCTGTCATTCCAAAATCGAAATTTGTTCGTGTTTTGAAACTTTACCTGTGATTGCCTTTTTTTGAAAGTTGATGCGATATTTACGGCAACTATGCGAGAATATCGCGGAATCGCGGCCTAAGTCAATCCCTGATAGTATAGTTCCAAGTACATCATATAGTCAAAGAAGGTCAGTGGCAATAGTATAGTTCCAAGTACATCATATAGTCAAAGAAGGTCAGTGGCAATAGTATAGTTCCAAGTACATCATATAGTCAAAGAAGGTCAGTGGCAATAGTATAGTTCCAAGTACATCATATAGCCAAAGAAGGTCAGTGGCAATAGTTTAGTTCCAAGTACATCATATAGTCAAAGAAGGTCAGTGGCAATAGTTTAGTTCCATGTACATCATATAGTCAAAGAAGGTCAGTGGCAATAGTATAGTTCCAAGTACATCATATAGTCAAAGAAGGTCAGTGGCAAGAGTACAGTTCCAAGTACATCATATAGCCAAAGAAGGTCAGTGGCAATAGTTTAGTTCCAAGTACATCATATAGCCAAAGAAGGTCAGTGGCAATAGTTTAGTTCCAAGTACATCATATAGTCAAAGAAGGTCAGTGGCAAGAGTATAGTTCCAAGTACATCATATAGCCAAAGAAGGTCAGTGGCAATAGTATAGTTCCAAGTACACCATATAGCCAAAGAAGGTCAGTGGCAATAGTATAGTTCCAAGTACATCATATAGCCAAAGAAGGCCAGTGGCAATAGTTTAGTTCCATGTACATCATATAGACAAAGAAGGTCAGTGGCAATAGTATAGTTCCAAGTACACCATTTAGTCAAAGAAGGTCAGTGGCAATAGTATAGTTCCAAGTACATCATATAGTCAAAGAAGGTCAGTGGCAATAGTATAGTTCCAAGTACATCATATAGTCAAAGAAGGTCAGTGGCAAGAGTATAGTTCCAAGTACATCATATAGCCAAAGAAGATCAGTGGCAATAGTTTAGTTCCAAGTACATCATATAGTCAAAGAAGGTCAGTGGCAATAGTATAGTTCCAAGTACATCATTTAGTCAAAGAAGGTCAGTAGCAATAGTATAGTTCCAAGTACATCATATAGTCAAAGAAGGTCAGTGGCAATAGTATAGTTCCAAGTACATCATGTAGCCAAAGAAGGTCAGTGGCAATAGTTTAGTTCCAAGTACATCATATAGTCAAAGAAGGTCAGTGGCAATAGTATAGTTCCAAGTACATCATTTAGTCAAAGAAGGTCAGTAGCAATAGTATAGTTCCAAGTACATCATATAGTCAAAGAAGGTCAGTGGCAATAGTATAGTTCCAAGTACATCATGTAGCCAAAGAAGGTCAGTGGCAATAGTTTAGTTCCAAGTACATCATATAGCCAAAGAAGGTCAGTGGCAATAGTATAGTTCCAAGTACACCATTTAGTCAAAGAAGGTCAGTGGCAATAGTATAGTTCCAAGTACATCATATAGCCAAAGAAGGTCAGTGGCAATAGTTTAGTCATAAAGATAAAAAAAATTACCTGTCATAGTTCTCGTCAATCCTGATCTCCTCTCGAGCCTCTGTCACCTCCTCTCCATCTCTCACCTGTAAATTACACATCATATTACAGCTCCCATAACAAGTCAATTTCTACATCCTCATGTCATTAGTCAGTTTTTGCCCATCTTCCCTAGGCAAGGGAGTTAACTAGCTGTAAAATTCCAGTTTCCACCCTTGCCAAACTATGCTGGAATTTCTGGGCTTGATCGTAGCACCACCAGTGGCAATTACGAGTTATGTCCTTTCTAATTCCCTCCTATTGACTAATCAGATTCCACCTCTCATATCACTTGCATTTGCTTCAAAATAAATGGCGGCACCCAGTGAAGACGATCTGATCGATAAACAAGATTGTAATTAAACATGTCTTACCTCGCAAAGTGCATCCAATCATGTGAGCACCTTTGATTAAAAACACAACAAGCATATAGTCGACGAAGTCATCCCCACCCATTTTAACATGTTATGGTCCCAGACCAGGTAACTGACCCAACATTTCTCTTAGCCCATGTCAAAATAGCTACAATGGAAATTCTAAAATAAACATTTCTAAAACTCCTTAATATCAAATGGCACCAGTTCAGAATGTGCCTGGTAGACATGCAAAGTTTTGTAAGAAAGTATTTAACGGTTTTTGAGTAACACTCCGGAAACAAACACCACCCTTATAGAAGTTCAACATGTTGCCATGGAAACGTAAAAAATATAAATTTCTAAAATTCCTAAATAGCAAAAGGCACCAGTTCAGTATGTGTCTGGTAAACATGCAAAGTTTTGTTAGAAAGTATGGAATGGGTTTTGAGTTATGCTCCGGCAACAAACTCTACCCTATAGAGCCTAAGTCCAACTTGTTGCCATGGAAACATAAAATAAACAAATTATAAAATTCCTAAATAGCAAAAGGCACCAGTTCAGTATATGCCTGGTAGACATGCAAAGGTCATACACACACTCACATTGTCTACACAGACAAGTACTACGACCTTGTCTACACAGACACAGACTATGACCTTGTCTACACAGTCATGAAGTATGGCCTTGTCTACACAGACATAGACTATGACCTTGTCTACACAGTCACGGAGCATGGCCTTGTCTACACAGACAGAGACTATGACCTTGTCTACACAGACACTGACTATGACCTTCTCTACACAGAAACTGACTATGATCTTGTCTATGACCTTGTCTACACAGACACAGACTATGATCTTGTGTACACAGACATCTGACCTTGTCTACATACTTTGTGTTCTGTACAACTGACCTTGTCTACATACTTTGTGTTCTGTACAACTGACCTTGTCTACATACTTGGTGTTCTGTACATCTGACCTTGTCTACATACTTGGTGTTCTGTACAACTGACCTTGTCTACATACTTGGTGTTCTGTGCAACTGACCTTGTCTACATACTTGGTGTTCTGTACAACTGACCTTGTCTACATACTTGGTGTACTCTACAACTGACCTTGTCTACATACTTGGTGTTCTGTACATCTGACCTTGTCTACATACTTGGTGTTCTGTACATCTGATCTTGTCTACATACTTGGTGTTCTGTACAACTGACCTTGTCTACATACTTGGTGTTCTGTACATCTGACCTTGTCTACATACTTGGTGTTCTGTACATCTGACCTTGTCTACATACTTGGTGTTCTGTACAACTGACCTTGTCTACATACTTGGTGTTCTGTACAACTGACCTTGTCTACATACTTGGTGTTCTGTACATCTGACCTTGTCTACATACTTGGTGTTCTGTACAACTGACCTTGTCTACATACTTGGTGTTCTGTACATCTGACCTTGTCTACATACTTGGTGTTCTGTACATCTGACCTTGTCTACATACTTTGTGTTCTGTACAACTGACCTTGTCTACATACTTGGTGTTCTGTACATCTGACCTTGTCTACATACTTGGTGTTCTGTACAACTGACCTCGTCTACATACTTGGTGTTCTGTACAACTGACCTTGTCTACATACTTGGTGTTCTGTACAACTGACCTTGTCTACTTACTTGGTGTTCTGTACATCTGACCTTGTCTACATACTTGGTGTTCTGTACATCTGACCTTGTCTACATACTTGGTGTTCTGTACATCTGATCTTGTCTACATACTTGGTGTTCTGTACAACTGACCTTGTCTACATACTTGGTGTTCTGTACATCTGACCTTGTCTACATACTTGGTGGTCTGTACAACTGACCTTGTCTACATACTTGGTGGTCTGTACAACTGACCTTGTCTACATACTTGGTGTTCTGTACAACTGACCTTGTCTACATACTTGGTGTTCTGTACATCTGACCTTGTCTACATACTTAGTGTTCTCTACAACTGACCTTGTCTACATACTTGGTGTTCTGTACAACTGACCTTGTCTACATACTTGGTGTTCTGTACAACTGACCTTGTCTACATACTTGGTGTTCTGTACAACTGACCTTGTCTACATACTTGGTGTTCTGTACAACTGACCTTGTCTACATATTTGTGTTCTGTACAACTGACCTTGTCTACATACTTGGTGTTCTGTACATCTGACCTTGTCTACATACTTGGTGTTCTGTACAACTGACCTTGTCTACATACTTGGTGTTCTGTGCAACTGACCTTGTCTACATACTTGGTGTTCTGTACAACTGACCTTGTCTACATACTTGGTGTTCTGTACAACTGACCTTGTCTACATACTTGGTGTTCTGTACATCTGACCTTGTCTACATACTTGGTGTTCTGTACAACTGACCTTGTCTACATACTTGGTGTTCTCTACAACTGACCTTGTCTACATACTTGGTGTTCTGTACATCTGACCTTGTCTACATACTTGGTGTTCTGTACATCTGATCTTGTCTACATACTTGGTGTTCTGTACAACTGACCTTGTCTACATACTTGGTGTTCTGTACATCTGACCTTGTCTACATACTTGGTGTTCTGTACAACTGACCTTGTCTACATACTTGGTGGTCTGTACAACTGACCTTGTCTACATACTTGGTGTTCTGTACAACTGACCTTGTCTACATACTTGGTGTTCTGTACATCTGACCTTGTCTTCATACTTGGTGTTCTGTACAACTGACCTTGTCTACATACTTGGTGTTCTGTACAACTGACCTTGTCTACATACTTGGTGTTCTGTACAACTGACCTTGTCTACATACTTGGTGTTCTGTACAACTGACCTTGTCTACATACTTGGTGTTCTGTACAACTGACCTTGTCTACATACTTGGTGTTCTGTACAACTGACCTTGTCTACATACTTGGTGTTCTGTACATCTGACCTTGTCTACATACTTGGTGTTCTGTACAACTGACCTTGTCTACATACTTGGTGTTCTGTACAACTGACCTTGTCTACATACTTGGTGTTCTGTACAACTGACCTTGTCTACATACTTGGTGTTCTGTACATCTGACCTTGTCTACATACTTGGTGTTCTGTACATCTGACCTTGTCTACATACTTGGTGTTCTGTACAACTGACCTTGTCTACATACTTGGTGTTCTGTACAACTGACCTTGTCTACATACTTGGTGTTCTGTAGACCCATGACTGCTGTCTTAGAGATGTCAGGGATGCGGAAGTAAGTGTGTAGGAGACAGGTGAAGTCAAAGTCTTTGCTGCCTGAAAGAAGAAGACGAAGTCATCCATATCTCCCACCATCCTTGCATATTCAAAATTGTGAATAAATATTCTTAGATTTGTTGCGACAGCCAGCAGTTCTAACTTGCCTAATACATTTGCCAATTTTCCTGGAGAAATAATAAATAGTTTGGCACTTGAAATAAACCTTGTCTACTGCCAGGACACAGGTGCTGTGGAACACTCAACCACATTGTCTACTGCCAGGACACAGGTGCTGTGGTACACTCAACCACAATGTCTACTGCCAGGACAAAGGTGCTGTGGTACACTCACCCACACTGTCTACTGCCAGGACACGGGTGCTGTGGAACACTCAACCACAATGTCTACTGCCAGGACACAGGTGCTGTTGAACACTCACCCAGGTTGTCTACTGCCAGGACACAGGTGCTGTGGAACACTCACCCACAATGTCTACTGCCAGCACACAGGTGCTGTGGTACACTCAACCACAATGTCTGCTGCCAGGACACAGGTGCTGTGGAACACTCTCCCACAATGTCTACTGCCAGGACACAGGTGCTGTGGAACACTCACCCAGGTTGTCTACTGCCAGGACACAGGTGCTGTGGTACACTCGCCCAGGTTGTCTACTGCCAGGACACAGGTGCTGTGGTACAATCAACCACAATGTCTACTGCCAGGACACAGGTGCTGTGGAACACTCACCCAAAATGTCTACTGCCAGGACACAGGTGCTGTGGTACACTCGCCCAGGTTGTCTACTGCCAGGACACAGGTGCTGTGGTACAATCAACCACAATGTCTACTGCCAGGACACAGGTGCTGTGGAACACTCGCCCAGGTTGTCTACTGCCAGGACACAGGTGCTGTGGTACACTCAACCACAATGTCTACTGTCAGCACACAGGTGCTGTGGAAAGCTCACCCACATTGTCTACTGCCAGGACACAGGCGCTGTGGTACACTCAACCACAATGTCTACTGCCAGGACCCCGGTGCTGTGGAACACTCAACCATAATGTCTACTGCCAGGACACAGGTGCTGTGGAACACTCACCCAGGTTGTCTACTGCCAGGACACAGGTGCTGTAGTACACTCAATGACAATGTCTACTGCCAGGACACAGGTGCTGTGGTACACTCATCCACAATGTCTACTGCCAGGACACAGGTGCTCTGGAACACTTGCCCACAATGTCTACTGCCAGGACACAGGTGCTGTGGAACACTCAATCAGGTTGTCTACTGCCAGGACACATGTGCTGTGGAACACTCGCCCACAATGTCTACTGCCAGGACACAGGTGCTGTGGTACACTCATCCACAAAGTCTACTGCCAGGACACAGGTGCTGTGGTACACTCTCCCACGATGGCTACTGCCAGGACACAGGAGCTGTGGTACACTCAACCACAATGTCTACTGCCCGGGCACAGGTGCTGTGGTACACTCTCCAACAATGTCTACTGCCAGGACACAGGTGCTGTGGTACACTCATCCACAAAGTCTACTGCCAGGACACAGGTGCTGTGGAACACTCACCCAGGTTGTTTACTGCCACATTCATGGTGACTGTCTTCTCCATCACCTGTACAGTGTACACCACCTTGAACCTGCAACAGGTGATCAGTTATATGAGACGACTAAGGAGCTCTCAATGCCTTGCCTCTACACAAGTGTCACTTTAAAATGTCCTTGTTACCTACCTAACATATAGATGTCTAACTCTACTGTCAGGCTGTGACTTCACATCCAAGTCATCACATGTGGAAAGGCCAACAGTACTTTATCAGATACAGTTTCACCATGACGATGGTAGATAGACCCAGTGAATAGTTGCCCTCACAAACACAGCACTTGATGCAAAGTCGCTTTAACTGATCTACTGGCACTGTGACTATTGTAAGTTGAACATAAATAATTAGATTTTCCAAAGTTGTGGCACTAAAATCACTTTGTGTAAATGGCCACAGGTCTGTCTGTACATCTTACCTGAAGTCCCATATTGCTCGGGTGGCTTCATCATCTTGAAGGACAAACTCAGCTACAACATTGCCTGCACTATCCTGCAAGCAGTAGGTTGTAAACTCAGTATTGATGCTGGTTTTGCTGGTTTCATGGCAATAATATGGAAGCCTGTGTTTGTGTGTAAAGTTATGGCCGCCTGGGTTTGTGTGTAATTTCATGGCAGCCTTGTTTGTGTGCAAAGTAATGGAAGCCTGTGTTTGTGTGTAACGCTATGATGCCTGTGTTTGTGTGTAACATTATGGAAGACTCTGTTTGTGTGTAAAGTTATGACAGCCTGTGTTTGTGTGTAAAGTTATGGAAGTCTGTGTTTTTGTGTAACGCTATGATGCCTGTGTTTGTGTGTAACATATTGGAAGATTGTGTTTGTGTGTAAAGTTATGACAGCCTGTGTTTGTGTGTAACGTTATGAATCCTGTGTTTGTGTGTAACGCTATGGAAGATTGTGTTTGTGTGTAACGTTATGGAAGATTGTGTTTGCGTGTAAAGTTATGACAGCCTGTGTTTGTGTGTAAAGTTATGACAGCCTGTGTTTGTGTGTAAAGCTATGACAGCCTGTGTTTGTGTGTAACGCAATGGAAGCCTGTGTTTGTGTGTAACGCTATGATGCCTGTGTTTGTGTGTAACATATTGGAAGCCTGTGTTTGTGTGTAACGCTATGGAAGATTGTGTTTGTGTGTAACGTTATGGAAGACTGTGTTTGTGTGTAAAGTTATGGAAGATTGTGTTTGTGTGTAACGCTATGGAAGATTGTGTTTGTGTGTAAAGTTATGGAAGATTGTGTTTGCGTGTAAAGTTATGGAAGATTGTGTTTGCGTGTAAAGTTATGACAGCCTGTGTTTGTGTGTAAGGCAATGGAAGATTGTGTTTGTGTGTAACGCTATGGAACATTGTGTTTGTGTGTAACGCTATGGAAGATTGTGTTTGTGTGTAACGCTTTGGAAGATTGTGTTTGCGTGTAAAGTTATGGAAGATTGTGTTTACTCGTAAAGTTATGGAAGATTGTGTTTGCGTGTAAAGTTATGGAAGATTGTGTTTGTGTGTAAAGTTATGGAAGACTGTGTTTGTGTGTAACGTTATGGAAGATTGTGTTTGTGTGTAAAGTTATGGAAGATTGTGTTTGTGTGTAACGCTATGGAAGATTGTGTTTGTGTGTAACGCTTTGGAAGATTGTGTTTGCGTGTAAAGTTTTGGAAGATTGTGTTTGTGTGTAAAGTTATGGAAGACTGTGTTTGTGTGTAACGCTATGGAAGATTGTGTTTGTGTGTAACGTTATGGAAGATTGTGTTTGCGTGTAAAGTTATGGAAGATTGTGTTTGCGTGTAAAGTTATGGAAGATTGTGTTTGCGTGTAAAGTTATGACAGCCTGTGTTTGTGTGTAAGGCTATGGAAGATTGTGTTTGTGTGTAACGTTATGGAAGATTGTGTTTGTGTGTAACGTTATGGAAGATTGTGTTTGCGTTTAAAGTTATGGAAGATTGTGTTTGCATGTAAAGTAAAGGAAGACTGTGTTTGTGTGTAAAGCTATGACAGCCTGTGTTTGTGTGTAACGCAATGGAAGCCTGTGTTTGTGTGTAACGCTATGATGCCTGTGTTTGTGTGTAACATATTGGAAGCCTGTGTTTGTGTGTAACGCTATGGAAGATTGTGTTTGTGTGTAACGTTATGGAAGATTGTGTTTGTGTGTAAAGTTATGGAAGATTGTGTTTGTGTGTAACGCTATGGAAGATTGTGTTTGTGTGTAACGCTTTGAAAGATTGTGTTTGCGTGTAAAGTTATGGAAGATTGTGTTTGCGTGTAAAGTTATGGAAGATTGTGTTTGCGTGTAAAGTTATGGAAGATTGTGTTTGTGTGTAAAGTTATGGAAGACTGTGTTTGTGTGTAACGCTATGGAAGATTGTGTTTATGTGTAACGTTATGGAAGATTGTGTTTGCGTGTAAAGTTATGGAAGATTGTGTTTGCGTGTAAAGTTATGGAAGATTGTGTTTGCGTGTAAAGTTATGACAGCCTGTGTTTGTGTGTAAGGCTATGGAAGATTGTGTTTGTGTGTAACGTTATGGAAGATTGTGTTTGTGTGTAACGTTATGGAAGATTGTGTTTGCGTTTAAAGTTATGGAAGATTGTGTTTGCATGTAAAGTTATGGAAGACTGTGTTTGTGTGTAAAGTTATGACAGCCTGTGTTTTTCTGTGTAACGTTATGAATCCTGTGTTTGTGTGTAACGCTATGGAAGCCTGTGTTGTGCATAAAGTTATGTCTTTGTTGACATTTGCAAAATTCAACAATTTTCTGCACAGAAATTGATCACTACTAACTAACACAAAAACATTGACATAAACAAAAATGTATAATCTAAAGGTGCAATCTATGTCAAATATACTCACATGCAAAAGAAACGCAAGTGGTTTTAAGCAAATAGGTAACAAACAAAGAACCATAAATTGATATGAGGTTTAGCATGTAGTGAAGCCTGATGGTGTTATTAATATTTTTGGTTGCATTTTGGAAGCCCCGAGTAAAAACGCAACATAAAATACGAATTGCCAAAACGCACCATTTCAATGAATATGTGGGTATCATGCACCCATTTCTCGCGAAATCGAAAATGCACGAACTGTCACGAACTGTAGTGGGTATAAAACTGTGGCCGATTCTTGGACCTACCACTCCTTGGTCAACAATGCCACGCCTAACTCAAATTCAGAGAAACCAGGCTATCGGACGTTTGGAAGCTGGAGAGTTTGTCCAAGATGTTGCCCGTCATTTCAACGTTAACATAACCACAATTTACCGTCTCCTGCATCGATACAATGCTACACAGACCACAGATGACCTTCCTCGGAGCAGTCGACCTAGGGTACACCACACCTCGACAAGATCGGCAGATTACCTGTCAACACCAGCGACATCCATTCCTAACTGCAAGTGAAAGTGCTCGACAGGCCATAGGAACACATAATCGACACATTTGCCGGAACACTGTGTTCCGACGTCTTCACAAATAGTCTGATCCACTCAATGTACAGGAGATGTGTGGCAGTGATCAATGCTAATGGTGGTCACACCAAGTATTGACTGACATTTTGGGTATTGACCCAAAACTGTGTAAGCCCTTCACATTTGAAAAAAACAATTATGTCATCTGCCTTTTAATCCATTAAACTGTCTTCAGTCAAATTTTTGGCAATCTTGCCTTATTAGTATTTCTTGTCTTTACTGTCGAAAATAAATAACATGTATACTGAATACTCGAGTAGTCGACTTGCGTTTCTTTTGCGTGTGAGTATATTAAAATATCACAAAAAGAAAACAGAAATATGTTGAGCCCCACAACCAGCCACACATGTCATTCCATGGGAACCATCACTGAGTAACTGCCATCAAGACTAGGGATAATTGATTACTTCTTAGCCACACATGTATAAGGTGGATGCCCCAAGTCACACTTGTGGACTGTATAGTCACTTGTTTCATTTTTCACTTGTGCATTGTCCTGATATGAGAGGACACCTTTTCACAGCTTCCCATAGCTCAGTCATAATTGTCTCAAAAGTACAGCATAATATGCTTCATCTATTATGTGGCCTTTTGGAAGATAGTCCACCCTGATGACACCATAACCTCATAGACTTTCAATTCAGGTGAGCTATATTAAACCCCAATGACAACATGCTTGTTTGTTTGTTTGTTGTTTAATGCCGCACTCAGCAATATTCCAGCTATATGAAGGCAGTCTGTAAATAATCATGTCTGCACCAGACTATTAAGTGAATTATATCCTGAGCATCGATCCACGCAAGTGTGATACAATGACATGCATCAATCAAGTCAGCGAGCCCGACCATCCAATACTGATAGTCGCCTCTTATGACAAGCATGGGTTGCTGAAGACTTATTCTATCCTGGGTCTTCACGGGTCCTATAAGAACATGCAGACAAGAAACATACTGTCCTGGCTGGTGTTTCTGCCTGCCATCTCTTTGTCCTGGCAAAGCCATGCTGTGGGCCGAGGTCCCAGGGGCCGAAATTGGCTACAAAGATAACATTTCATTATTCTTTTTATCCTTTAAATAAATATTGCAACTGATTGAACTGTCAATTATTTTGACATTTTTTGTTTTGTTTTGTTTGTTGTTTAATGCCGCACTCAGCAATATTCCAGCTATATGACGGCGGTCTGTATATAATCGAGTCTGGGCCAGACAATCCAGTAATTAATGTCATGAGCATCGATCCATGCAATTGGGATACGATGACATACATCAACCAAGTCAGTGAGCCTGACCACCCGATCCCGTTAGTTGCCTTATTTTGACGTAAATGGTGTGACAAGATTCATGCAGCTTGCAATTGTAACGATTGTACCTTGGCCAGATTTTTATTTCCTTGTGGTTTACAAGTTTTTACCTATTCTAGTTAATAAGATAAAATGTGATATGATGTGTGCAGGTTCACACAAGACTGGCAATATATTTTAGAGATAAAACCCAATAACGGCTATCTGAGTGTGGTGTGAAGTAATAAACAGTGTCTTCATGTCTACAGCTTCACAGAGCCTGACTTCCTGTCTGTGTTTATTGTGATGTCTTATAGCTAAAATGAGCACTATTTTCATTAAACCACCCGCATGTTATCAGAAATGAGCAGACCACTGTAACTTGATAATGCCCTCGTATTGCTTGACGTCGGGCCATTATCACGCGTGTTGTTAGGTGACATATTACCAATGTTTAATAGTGATGTCATCTGGTTTGTTCTATGACGTGTCCATATTTGTAAAAGTGGATTAGTGACATTCATTGTGTGTTGTAAATGTGTGTGTTGTTGTGTGTTGTAAATTTGTGTGTAAATTGTGTGTTGTAAATGTGTGTGTTGTAAATGTTTCAAAACCAATATTGCTGTTTATTTTTATTAGATAACAAATTCTACCCATTTAGCTATAATAATGGTAACACTATTTTTCAGGGCATTATCATTTGCAGAAGCCCTCGGTTTAAATTAATGGAATACCTCGGGCTTCTGCAAATGATAATGCCCAGCAAAATAGCGTTACCCTTATAATAATAGTGTTGTGTACTAAACAAAACATTTAATCCCACAGAATCTGAATAATTTTAAAAAATGTGCCAAACTTTCAGAAATTATAATGAATGTTATAAGAATGAGAAATAGTTTGCTCAATTGAACACTTGCATGTTTTGGACTTCTAACAACATCAAGTGCGGAGATAATGCTAAAATGGGCAGAAAATGATGATCTTAGTTTTCAGGAAGGAAACTTTTATATTGGAAAATGGGCAAGCCTTAGACCCAAACTAATCTAGTTGAAAAGATGAAGAAAACAACAGTACAAACATATGATAAAAATAATGTTGATTATGAACTTGCTTAAAGTTGTGAGTGAGTTGGGTTTAACTCCGCTTTTAACAGTATTCCAGTTATATCACGGTGTGTCAGCTTAATGTGGAAGGAAAGCCAAAAGTGATGCAGGTCTCAGATGTTTACCATTTTGGTGAAAGCAACAAGCACGGGTATGGTGCTGACAAACCTAGAAACATAATCAGGGAGAATTGGGATTTGAACCCAAAATCATAGGTTTCTGGTTACCCAAGGGACGCAACTTTGCACAGCGAATCGCGGCGCCTTAGATGACTGGGCCATCCGTGGCCCCCTTGCTCATAGCAAGACTTTCTCTTGGAGATGTACCGGTAAGCATCAGCCTTTTGTGTTCAGTTTACTCGTATGTACTTGACCATTACAGATGGAACAAACATCCACATGTTAGAAAGAAAAAGGGCTAATTGACAACCATTTGGACATGTCATAACATTTCAAAGTCTTTTTGTAAGTTTACATTTATCAATGTTTCAAGTGGGCCAGAAAGGGCCTTGTCCTACTTGGTGCCACGGACATGGTGTGATGGACACAAACCAACTCGGATTAGAATCCCCACTCTAGATCTTTGAATCATTATATTCGTTTTGTTTGTTTGTTGTTTCATGCCACAGTCAACAATATTCAAGTCAATAAACTGAACATGTATATCAATGGAATCTGCAGGTATCATATCTGTGATCGAAACCTCTGAATGGAATACACAGAAGACTTGTCTCTTAATTATGATAAAAAATGAACACTGACATCATATATTCACTATTTTACAGATATTTCTTTCTTGAGTCACACAGTTTTTAGAAATAAATATTTAGAAATGAAATAATACTTACGGAAAACTACGGGTATTCCACCTCTGATGGCTTTCTTGTTGTCAAACACAGCCTTCTCACTGATGGGAAAGAAGACATCTTTTAAAAGTAAAAGCATCTTCATTAACACAAAAACAATCAAACAAATTACTAAACAAGATTGCTGTGTTGGGCAGCTCAGCCCCTGCGTTTTTTAGGGCTTGGTCCTGCCCAACACTGAAGCATATGCAACACATGTAGTGTCTCCTTGGGCAAGTGAAATGCTTCTCCATTCACCCAGCAGTGAATGGGTTCCTGGTACGATGAGATGGCAATGTGGCTGTTATAACCTTCTGGTGCCACACAGGCAGCTTGGGTTGTATTCTCTCCAGGGAGATGAGAATGATTGATGAGTGCATACTGATCCATTGCCCAGGGTATTAAAGTATGCTTTGAGCAACCACATAGTGGATGGAAAACAGTGCCTAAAAATTGACTTGTAATTATTATTAAGTTGCAACATTAAAAGTAAGGCTCCAGTCCTATATTCCATGACAAACTTCCCAATGGTTAGGGTATCATAATGACTAGTTAACATTTGCCCCGTTTAAGGGTTTTGCTATATGTTATCAATATAAGGACCAAGACTGTTAGTTACTATCACTGAGTTGGTTTACAGGTTACAGGCAATGTCCTCAACAGCCAGGGTGCAAGGACAATATTCATACAATGAAGATATCTGGCACCCCTGTAGCCTGTGGCACGCACAGTCTAAGGGAGACAACTCTTCCTTACAATGGTAGATCCTTCATCCTCTAAATTTCTCAGTGATTAGTACATGGGAGTTTATTTAGTACTTATTTCAAGCATGTCATATGAAAATAGTTATCACACTGCCTTGGCTTTTGAAAATAACATGACTGTTTTCCAACTACAATCATCATCGAGATCACTTTAGTTCGGAGATCAACAATCTCAACATACTCTGATGCTGCATTGTGTCTTAATAAATGTCTTCCAACCAGCTGTATATCACTTAACGTTCCTATGACTTACCTCAAAAACAAGACTTCTTGTCCTTGGCACTTCCAAGACAAAACGGTAGCTCCTGCACAAGACAATACAGTAGCAATTTTATGGTTGTACACACTGAGTATGGAAAGAATCTGTACCAGTATGTTCGCATGAAACAATCAGTATCAGCACTGCCAATAGCTTCAGTAGGTTTACTTGTACTTAGTGTAGGGAATTAGTTGTATGATAATGATTGTTGATGGGATCATCTAATTTAATCAGTAAGCGTAATGTTGCTGTTTTCAGTAAAATAAGATCACAGTATCACACCAAACAAAAATACAATTCTACCTAGACTGTAGCTTCAACAGTGATCAGAGTACCATAACAGTTAGGTTATTACTACTGTTATATGTTGTGCCTAATAGTACTTGTGTACCTAAGCACTCATGGACTGATGACGTCACCACAAATAGTGATGATGTCATGATGACATAGTTAGCAGAATAGAACATGGCCACCTCCTGTAAGAAACCATCTGACAGAAGTCTGAAATGAATCTACAGAGATTTAGTGAGCTGTTAAATGCAATTTTGATTGACTAAAATTTGGTATTTTGCCAAAATTTTGAAGTGATTAGCTAGTGATAGTGCCTCTTATTTAAAGGCGCACTGATCTACAGCAATTTCCCGGGACTGGTTGTTGCCTTTGTTAATTTTTTTTCCTCGTGAGTACCCGGATGTATAGCAGAAATCTAAACCGGTTTGCGACCTGTGCTTCACCATTCGTAAGCGCATTAGTCACTTTTATGGATAGTATAAAGGTGTATGGTCACATTGACCAACAAAATAAAATACTTTTTCGAGATAATAAGGAAATGTAGGTAAGTTTTGATAAGTCACTTGGTTGGGAATTGTGCGATTTTCATTTACACTATTTTGACTTGCAACAAAAAGTAAATACTTCACCTGAGCAATGCTCATTTTTATCGTGTGTATATTTTTACAGTCAAAATGTGTAAAATTTTCACGTAGGAAATTTATTAAGCGCCTAATTATTCAATTATTTTACAAAATGACTGAACAATATGTCCATCTGTATTATTATGATAACGAATTCCAAACATTCTTATGTTTAATATCATCACCAAGTGAGTGAAATGGTTAGGATTAAGTACATTTCTATATTGTTTGGCCTCTAATACAAGCATAATTAATCTATTGTGATGTTTTAAGCCCTTTTTGAATGTCTTAATCATTTTTAGTCAATCTGTTAAATGAATGGACAGATTTGTCAGTTTGTAATGGTGAATCACATTTTACACATTGACTGTAACATATACACGCTTACAAAGGAAAAGATTTGTGAAAACACTGTAAATCGCACATCGAAGAGCTTCCCAAACAAGACGTAGAGGAACAAGAATGATTCTGTTCAATGCTACAGAAAAAGAATGAAAACAAAATGCAAATATCATAATTACAACCTACCAAAGTATAATATTAGGCAGCTACCTTGTTCGAGGAATGTATCCGTAAATATCCACACAAAGGAACAATATCTCGCACATCTGCAGCTGTATAATGAAACTTATTTGATGTCATGTGTCTCTGTAACACTCTAACATTTTAAATAAATTGACGTCCAAAAGAAACTTGACCAACTGAAAATATAAATTTCAGACAAAGTATAATTTTTTTTCCGATGAAGTCTATCTTAAACACATAACCTAAATACAACAATAGTGTATGCAGAAAATGTTAATCGTCTGTTACATGTTTGCGAGATAACACACGAAAAAAGTGAAAAAAACGTGCACCATGGACAACTGCAGTCGACAGTCAGTGGCCAGGAGACTCAGGGCTGATGGAATCAGGGCTTTTAGACCATACAGAGGACAGCTATTGACAGCGCAACATTGTCGTCTGCGATTGAGATGGGCCCGGACTGTACGATGTTGGCAACGATGTGATTGGCAGAGGGTTGTCTTCACTGACGAAAGTCGATTCTGTATGTTTAGGGCTGATGGAAGACAACGTGTTTAACCGCCGAAGAGGTGAACGAACGGCGGTGTGTTGTGTGCAGCAGGTCGTACCATATGGTGGAGGGAGTGTCATGGTGTGGGGAGGGATCTGTGGGCAGGAGAGGACACCGCTGGTCATCGTTGACGGAAACTTGACAGCTCAGCGTTACATGGATAACATTCTTCATTCAGTTGTCCTACCATTTCTCCAACAGCAGCCACGTGGTGTCATTTATCAGCATGACAACGCTAGAGCCCATACAGCCAGAATTGTCACTAACTTCCTCGCAGCCAACAACATCAACGTCCTGCCGTGGCCTGCACGCTCACCCGACATGTCCCCCATTGAACACCTCTGGGACTTGATGGATCGTCATGTTCGACAACGACCACACTCTCCAGCCAACCGGCAAGAACTGATCTTGGCCCTCCAAGAAGAATGGCGTCAAATCCCACGTAACCTCATCAGACGACTGACTTTTTCTGTGCGTCGAAGAGTTTTTGCGTGTATTGAGGCATTTGGTGGTCACACACGCTACTAATGACTTGTTATTGAACGTGAGCAATTGTTTATGTACTCTGCCTATTGTCCATGATTCTGAAAGCTCGAGTTTTGTAACACACCCAACTTTAGGGGGCTCTGACGTAATTATCGGTCGCGGTATGATTGTGATTTTCAGTGTTAATTATGTTGATATATTGATCTTCTCAATACACTTTACTTCATGCATGCATGTTTTGTTGTTTTTGAGCAAGAGTGATTTCAAACTCTGGTAAAGTTTTTCTTTTGGACGTCAGTTTATATTTAGCGTTTCGAGATATTTTAACCGTGTTCGTTTCTCAACTGATCACTTGGTTTTTTTCAGTTGTTTCACATAGGTGTCAAGTCTTTAAGGTCAGCTGAGAAAGCCTACGTGACAACTATTTTCATTATGTCCACGTTCTTAAAAAAATCCATTGAGTGAGATAACAATGAGCAACCACTCAACGTATAATCGGTTATTCCTATCAAAAGCATGTAGTTTTTACATTGGCACTTCACGCCATGGTATGAGTGCATACCGTCTGTTTTAGTAAACCTACACATGTAAACACTTACTTTTGACATATCAACTGTGCAAGATAACAGTGATTAAGCAATCAACATATTTTCTGTTACTGCTTTGATGGCGAGGAATGATCTGTCATTAACTGAGCATCAAGTGAATTATGACAAATACACAAGCGTAGGGTTTTCCCATAAAACATGGATGACAACAAGGGAGTAGTAATCGTATCCTCCACGCAATCCGAAATCCGAAAATGCTATCGCTGCAGGGATAATTTTTTTATTATTAAACCATAACCATCAGGGGTAATTCCAAATAACGACATCCGATGAGCTTCCGGCGTTCTTTTTGTCTGTTTGTTTAGGCTGAAGAAATTAATTAACATGTACCCTTTGTCGAAATCTTCATAACCAATCAGTGCTAAAAAATGCTTAAAACAAATATTGCTGCCAAGTTTATTTAGCTGTCCTTGCAGATGGTAGCCCAGTCTCTTGTCACGCTCAGTTGTGTTGGTCAGCAAATCAACAAGCTAGTTTGAGTGAACATTTTGACTGTTAAGTCATAAGCACATCCTAGTTTACAATCACTATTACAGAGGATTACAGAAGCTGTTAATTTATCCCAGTAGATATTTTCCATCAGAAAAGGCATGGCTACATTCCAAGTTTCTCCACCTGATCGTTTCAATTTCAAGCAGCCTGATGATGAGTGGCCAAAATGGATAAAGAGATTTGTTCTCTTTAGAATTGCATCAAGACTGAACACTCAAGATGGGGGAAGAGGCTGAAGACACATTAGCTACATTCAGACTTAATGAACAAGTGGCTGATTTTGATGTTGTGAAAACTCACTTTGAGAACTTTATCCCTGTTAGGAGAAATGTTACCTTCGAATGAGCCAAGTTTAACAAGAGACTACAAGAACCAAGTGAAATTCTAGATAGCTTCCTTACTGAGCTCTATGGTCTGGATGAACATTCCGCAATATGGAACACTCCAGGAAGATCTTATTCATGATAGAATAGTGAAATAAGAGAAACTAGTCTATTTTAATGACTACAGCTTGATAGTGAATTAACCCTTGGCTATCAAGATAGCCAGACAATCTGTAACTGTGAAAAGGCAACAATCAGTGGTCAGAAATACAGTGAGATCCGGGTAGAAAAGGTCTTCAGCAACCCATGCTTGCCGTAAAAGGCGACCATAGGTTGTAAGAGGACTAGCTTCACCTCTCATAGGTAAACTTGCAATTAAAGACTTGAATCTCATTCAGCGGGTAAACAACATCGAAACCGAGTATCACCAAATGAATATTGGAGAACCAAGTTTCCCAAGTTGTTCATCGGGCTTGGGAAGAAGGATGGTGCCTACAACATTAAACTTAAGGAGGGAGCAAAACCTTTTCCTCTGAATTCTCCAAGCAGAGTTCCACTTCCTTTACTCCCCAAGGTGAAGAAAGAACTCGAGAACATGGAGAGAACCGGTGTAATCTCACATGTTTACGAACCTATGGACTAATGTGCAGGTATTGTTGTAGTACCTAAAGCCTCAGGATCCATTAGGAATTTGTGTTGATCTGACCAATTTGAATGAATCAGTTCGTTGTGAAAATCATTCAATGCAAGTTTTAGACCAAACAATCAGCCAACTGAGTGGTGCTCAATACTTCACGAAGGAATCTTCACTTCTAACCACCGTTCGGAAGGTTTAGATTAAAACGTCTTCCATTTGGGATTTTCTCTACACCTGAACATTTCCAGAAGAGGATGAGCCAGATATTGGAAGGATTAGATGGAACTTTATGTCAGATGGATGACACCCTTATCTACGGTTCAACACAAGCGGAACACGACACAAGATTAGAAGCAACCTTACAGAGACTACAGGAAGCTGTGGTCACTCTCAAAGACAAATGTGTCTTCTCAACTAACTCTGAGATTTCTTGGTCACATCATCGACAGTCATGGTGTTCGAGCTGATCCGGCAAAAATCAATGCTACACGTGATATTGTGGAACCTTCAT